AAAATCTATACATATTACGCATACTACAGATTGATCGGCAGGAACACAAGCATGTGTCCACTGTAGAATAGACCGTTTGCTGAAAAAAATAATCGGAGCGTTAAATATGGTTTCTGCTAATTTTTGGAACTGCAATGTATTTACAGTATTAACCATTTTCTTTTTTTTAATGTATTTATGAATATAATTCGTAGTTGCAATGTTGAAATCGTTATTATTCCCATGGTATAAATAAAATTAAAATTTTAAAAATCCTAACTTCTCTTTGCTCTTCATTGTACGACAATCACTGGGCCATCATTCCTTGTTTATGGCTTGCCACTGAATAAAGTACAATATGCATACGGATTCTTATCATCAAATGCAGGTCAGTAAGTAGGATTATGTCTTGTAATTTCGAATTTACCCTATTACCTTAACATAACTTGTACTGCTCCTACCGTCTTACAATTGGAATATATATAAGCATAGAGCTATACTTGTCCTGAGGCACAGAGTGCATTCTTTCATCGATCAGTAAAATTTATGTATTTTGACAGTTCAATACAGAAATTGAAAATGCGAATTTGACCTTAATTTCATAATGTTTTATAGGGTTTAAATGTATGGGGTCAAATGAAATGTATATTTGTTGTATACTTATTTCATAACTCGGATACTGAGGATTGAGAATTATATGGCGTGTATTTTGTAATTCATACATTGAAGACCATTGTCAAATTTCTATTTAGATTTTAACAACTTCAATAACCCAACTGTTTGCTTCCCATGTATAATACCGGTACATGTTTTTGTAAAATTTGTAATTAAATTACTTTCGAAACTATCCAAATGCTAATAATAGCTTGGTATTAGTTAATGATGTACTTCTTATTAATGTGACTCACCAAGAGTGACTGGGGAATTGAAATATTGACACTACATGTCTTCTTCCGACCGGCAGTAAAACCCTTGTCAACGTGGACCGTCCGTTTGACTGTGCGGGATGTATCAAGTACGCAGCCACGTCCGGTCAGAATGCGGACGTTAAATCCGATGCCTCGTGTAGAGATAGTGTCACGCTCTCTGCACGTTAAGAACCCTTGTAACAACTCTTTGACTGGGGTCTCTAGGTGGCCTGTTGAAAGGCAAAATTTCTGTACTAATCCAATATACCCTCGTTTTTCAGTAGCAGTCTAAATTTCCCCGACTTTCATCCCGGACGGCCTCTATTGTTAATTTGTTCTCGTCCTGAACATGTATGTAATATTTACCACTGGACGTTAAGCAACCAACAATCAATCAATCAATCTAATTCATGTTGGTCTGGATGGAGTTACACAATAAAGAGTATGAGCCAAGACTACAGAAAAAAGGGTAAGAATATAAAAAATAGAGAAAAATAGAACAAAAAAAACTAAAGAATTAAAAAAAATGGAGTGCTAAATATAAAGAATGGAGAATATGAGGCAAAATACTGTATATTCAGAAATTATTGCGAGGTTTTTATTAATACGAATAATGCGATTAGGTGAGTATCGCAATAATAAGTACTCGCATTCTGATATCTGATACATATATCTGTATGCAGCTTTACCTGAAATCGCAAACAAATAATCTCGCATTTATGTCCATTCTTCAAAAAGCGCAATAATAAATGCACGCAATAATTTCAGAATTTACAGTAGATAAAGAATATAGAAAAATGGCCAAAAATATTAAAGAATACCGAGTTGAAGATCCCTCAATCCAGACACTCATTAATGTTTTTTGCAAAAAAATACAAATCTGACAAAATCTATAAGAATGGAAGTTTCAACCATTCATCTTTTGTGGGGGTGGTATTTGTATGATGTTGTTTTATTCAAATAAGTTGCTACATTCTTAATTTGTTGCTAACATTATTTTGTCTCGGGTGGAAAATGAAAAATATAGTTTTCTCCCACCAAAATGTGTTAAAAAATGATTCCAATATGTTATGAAGAATAGAAAGTTGTTTAATTAAAGTCTAATCAAACGGTTTGTCCCAAGTACCCTCCACCCCCCCCCCCCCCCCCCCCCCCCAAAAAAAAAACAAAAAAAAAAACAAAAACAACCCTGAAGTTGAATGAGTGCTCTCTTAGTTATTTGCAATTTGTAGTGCAGCTTAATCAGGTACATTTACACTAAATTTCCGTTTCAATGCAAGAAATGTAATTTTTTCTACATGTACCATCAAAACAAGTATTCAAGTCACGTAAGATAACGCAGGTACATTCTGCGTGCATTTTAGTAGTGAAGTTTATATGTAGAATGCACTGCAATTTTAAAGTCAGATCACAATCTGGTTCCTAAATTACAATAAACTGAGTCAGCAGTACTTGAAAACATGTTAACCTTGTAATTTTGAAAAATACCACCATCGTCAACTTATAATACTCGTAAGGGTTCTCAGTGCTCTTCAACTTCGTACTTTGTTTTTGACCTTTTTAAGTTCTTCTATTCGAGCGTCACTGATCAGTTTTTTGTAGACGAAACGCGCGTATGGCGTTCAAAATTTTAATCCTGGTATCTATGATGAGTATATATTCACTTATTATGTTAAAGTTCGCGATCACAAATATTCTTAAGTTCTTCGTGACAGCTCCAGCCCAAAGACTTGTTATACATGCTGTTAAAGCTACTCTAACAATAACTCAAACAACAGCTACAGGACTATGACTGAAACAGTGCAAAAAAAATGTATAATCATATTTTATTACTAGCTAGCACGTGTATATTTTTCTAAAGTATTTGATAACTTGCTGTTGGAAGACAAAACATCCAGCGCATTATTACAGTTCAATCATGACATTGGAAAACAAGATCTGAGTTCACCCAAGTCTTTTTTTTTGCCTGAACCTATGTTTCTCATGCGTTTTTAACTTTTAGCTTTCAACGTGCATGATGTTGTCTCTTGTTTTTCAACGGGTTTTTTGTCCATTCCATGTCTGTCTGATTTTCTTTCATTTTTTTTGTAATTCATTTACCATAATTAGCTTAATAGAAGAGGGACAGTCAAACCCATAGATCGAAAACATACTGACAATGCCATGGCCAAAAATAAAAAGACAAACAGACAAATAATAGTACAGATGACACAACATAGAAAACCAAAGACTAAGCAACACGAACCCCACCAAAAACTGGGGGTGATCTCAGGTGCTCCGGCAGGGTAAGCAGATCCTGCTCCACATGTGGCACCCGTCGTGTTGCTTATGTTATTACATATCCGGTAAATAGTCTAATTCGGTAAGTCACATTCGTGAAAAGGGACCCCCAAGGGTGACTGGGGAATAGAAGTATGGTCACCATTGGTCTTCCTCCGACCGGCAGTAAAACCCTTGCTAAAGTGGGGCGTCCGTTTGGCTGTGCGGGATGTAAAAATTTGCAGCCACGTCCGGTCAGAATGGGGACGTTTAATCCGATGCCTCGTGTAAAGAGAGTGCCACGCTCTTTGCACGTTAAGAACCCTTGCAACAACTCTTTGAGGGGTCCGTAGGTGACCTGTTGCAAGGCTTAATTTCTGTCCCTATCCAATATACCCTCATTTTCCCGTGGCAGTCTAAATTTCTCCGACCTTAATCCCGGACGCCCCCATTACAGAACCTTTCTATTGTATTTATTGTTTATTTGTTCTCGTCCTGAATATGCATGAAATATTTGCCGCTGGACGTTAAACAACCAACAATCAATCAATCAATCGTGAAAAGGGAAGGTATTATAGTTACGACATAAGGAACATATCCGATATCATCTGTGAAACGGTTATTCCATAACGGTCAACCAACTCGTGATGGCGTCCGTAAAATTTACGAAGGGATGACTTCAACTTCACCATTTGGAACTCTTGGTTTAATAGCTTCCTTGTGAGCAGCAATCCTCTATCAAGGAAATCATGATAGGAAACACAAGCCCGGAAATATCGTATCAATTGGGAGATATATACTCCGTATGCAGGCGCTGCTGGAATACAAAGGCGAAAACGCGAAATTAGCCGCATCCGGCTTCCATAGGTTGTGCGACAAACTATATTAACTGATAATTGACTTTCGCTTGAAATTAATTCCATTTTCATTAAAAGTATCCGTTTTGCGATGATCCAAACTCTGAAACAGTGGCTACGACGTCTCTGCTTACCGAATTTTCTCAGTAATGCAACTTTTAAGATATCTGTCTAGATATTGTGAGAAGTATATACAAGAATAAAATACTGACTCTTTTTGGGGGTGGATGTAATATTTTACTACATTAAATCGTGAATTCGTGCATTGAGTCAACTGCTGTAGAGTTTTCCTGGTATCTATATATACGTAGCAACATCGCCTTTTATAGACTTTATTTTCATGTTTTACTCAATATTTGTTTAAAACAGAAACAAATATGAAAATAAAGTAAATAAAAAAGCGACTATAAAATATCTCTGAATGTTGCAATTATTTTTACGGTAACAGTTTAAATCTAACGTCTACATAAGCCTCACTGTGCATGACTTTGTGGTTAATAATTTTACTTTTTTTCAAGTGCGAGTTGTTATTTTTGTCATAAATCATTAAGAAACAAAGGTCCAATATCACCTAGGAAAATTTGATCTCGGATGAATTTGGCTCTTTTTTGGTCCCTGTTGGGCATAAAGCTCTTAACGTGTCTACGTACTTTTGCATCTCTTTCAAATGTTTAAGTTTGAGCATTCCTGATGAAGATAAATACACAAAAACACTTTGGACGCATACTATTTATATGATGGGTTTCTGTCATTTAATACAACATTTCCTTTCTTTTTCATTATAAAATGAATACTATTTCGGTGTTGCCTTAATTGAAATATAAACCTAATGACCACCAAATGCGTGCTAAATCTTCGTACTGAGTTATTTCTGTCTTGTCTTAGATAAGTTGTGGATGTTAAGCAGTTCATTATTCCTTCTGTTCTTGTCGCACCTGTTGTCCTTTGATAGTAAATAAAACGTCCACGTGATATTGATATCACCCCTTTCATTGACGAATTTTTAAACCGAGGGCTGTAATTAAGAAACACAAAAATGAAAAGCTTTATCATTTGTTTGATTATAATTGTTTACACAGTATCAGGTAAGAATTAAGCTTTGTGTACACGTTTGTTTTAGGTCATTTTAAGGTACAATTTATCATGTTGTATTACAAATCTATTCGATGAAATATTTTAAATTCACCCATAGACTAGTTACGTTTTCGAGTATTTGTATATCCTTCGCGTTCACATTTTTTACATTTAGCGTTCCATGATATAGGCAAATTCAGAAAAGCGCTTCGAACGCACAAAAATTATTAAATGTATATGGATATACTATATATTCAATAAATATTTTTTTCTCTCTAATGCAACCTTTAATTCAAAAATGGTTATCTTCAAATTAATTTAATTGAATAAAAGAAGTGATGGTAAAATTTTAAAATGAGAAATATATCAATTAATGCATCAAAACGTCGATATATCTTCTCGGCCGCTTCACATGTAAGAATTTAGCTTGGTGTACCTGCTTTAGGTTATTTTTAAGGTACGATCCATCCAGTTGTATAACAAATCCATTGATTGAAATTTCTTTTCGGAAACAACATAACCCATTGTTTTGTAGGTTTTACATATTTTCTCTGTATGCGAATTTTTTTCTCAAAAATATGTGTTCATGTACCATTGTCTTTAGAAATTCATTTAATTTAACAAATTATTTTTGTATAATGCATATGTGTTTCTTAAATTCATGTTGAAAACAATGCAACCTAAGAATATGAAGTCTTGCTTATCAATGAAAAAATCTTAGGAAAAATGAAAAGAATGCATAAATATATAACAAGAATTACAAAAAATATCAGAAACTATAATAGAGCACAATAACCACCGACACCCGAAACTTCCAAGACGATACACATAAACATCAACAAGCAACACATAGTTATCAACGAGCAACACATAAACATCAACGAGCAACACATAAACATCAACGAGCAACACATAAACATCAACGAGCAACACATAAACATCAACGAGCAACACATAAACATCAACGAGCAACACATAAACATCAACGAGCAACACATAAACAACAACGAGTAACACATAAACATCAACGAGCAACACATAAACATCAACGAGCAACACACAAACATCAACGAGCAACACATAAACATCAACGAGCAACACATAAATATCAACGAGCACAAATAACTACCAACAGAATGGCCACTAACTTGAACATGAATACAAAATACGGCAAATAAGTTTGGAAGCAAGGTCAAAATGTGCTCGCTTCTACCATTTCCTTTTATTCATTGTTTCAACTGTTAGAATGACTTGTTGTGCTAAATAGGAAAGCCAAACAGCGGTTTTGGAAATATGTAGTAATGATGTGAATTAATGAGAAATATTTATAAATACCGCAGTGAGACAGTAACCCAATTGATTTTTTTTTCGTTCTAAGTGCTTCATTGCAACCGATTAAAGTAGTCAATGTTATTTGTCAAGCGCTTGTTTGTACATGTTTACTTTTGTCTTGAATTCCGAAACGGTGACATCGCAACACCAGATTTATTTCATTATATACCATAATCTTCCAATCACTCTTAAAAATAAACAATAGGAACCTTACCTTAATATACATATACTTATGAGGGTTTGGATTGGATTTTACAGAATAAAAAATCATGCGAAAGAAAAAAAGAATAAAGTAAATTGGACGGACAAACGAATAGACAAAAAAAGGGTGCCAAAATATAGAGAAAAACAGAGAATAACGGACAAAAACTTAAAAGAATCGAAAAAATGGTATATAATTAACTGAGAACAATGTAATAAACCCCCATCCCCCAAAACTCAGATCCTCACTTGTGTGATTGGATACTTTGCATCGCACTCTTCATACACAATCTCCGAAAATACAGAAATACTAGATTAAAATTGATACAATTGATACAAATATTTTCAAAAATTATTTACTTTTTTCAGAGTCATCTGCATTTCTAATAAACTTCTGTCCACCATTACTGTGTTTTCAACGTTGTATAAATGGATATGTATTAAATTCTAGAGGATGTCGGACCTGTACATGTATTTCTGGGAGCAGTATGTATATTTTACTTGTTTGCATATGTGGGTATTTTTTTCACCACCTCTTTTTTTGTATTGCAATCACCGTGTCCGTCCGTTCGTTCGTCCAACAAATATTTCCGTCACACTTTATTCTGGTACTATTGAACAGAATTACCTCACATTTAGTCAACCTGACAGTTAAATTACTGTATATTGGATAGGGAAAGACATTTTATCTTGCAACAGGCCACCGACGAACCCCTCAAAAAGTTGTTGTAAGGTTCTTAATGTGACAGAGAGCGTGGTACTCTCTTTACACGAGGCATCAGATTTAACGTCCCCATTCTGACCGGACGTGATTATTGACTTGTACATCCCGCACAGCTATACGAACGACCATCTTTGGCGAGGCTTTTCCTGCCGGTCGGAAAAAGACTAAAGTGACCATACATGTATTTCTATTCCCAAGTCACCCTTATGTGTTTGAATACACTTTTGGTATCTTCTGTCTCTCTGTTACACTTTTTGTCCTGAATTTTAAGACAAACTTCCCACTAAATGTTAAATATCCACCAATCAATTAGTTCAGGACTATACAATGGTATTATAGAAACTACTGAAATTACGGATCAATACAAGATGTATCCATGCTAAAGCTATCGTCAAAATATTTACATGAGCATGGCTGCCCAAATAATTTTCTGAGTCATAAAAATATACTTTTATATTTCATTTTTAGGTAAAAGTAATATTGCTACTTCCATGAAATCACCGATTATTGGTCCCCAGACAGGTGGCAGCCAACAGATGAGTGGAATGTTTGGTCCACAGGCCAATATTCAAGGATCATCCTATCACAATCCGTGTACTCCAAGTCAGGCGTTTTGTATACTGAGGTGTGAGAAGTATATGACTGGTGCTAGTGGTTGTCAGTACTGTCTTTGTGACGACAGTATACCAGGTAGATACAATATTATGGATGAGGGTCTGGAAGGGTGTCTTTCATTTATTTATTCTTTAATTGTTTAGACAACTCTTGTCTGTTCTTTATATATTTTGCCCATAATTCTTTAATCATTATATTTCAGCACTTCATTATTATCTATCTTTTATTGCCCATGATTCTCTTTTCTTTTTCTTTTTTTTACCCCCTATTCAGACCCTCATTGATTGTTGAAAAAGAAGAAAAGCTTGTCGAGTTTTTATTTTAAAAATAAGTTTTCGACATCCGACAATATACGTATATTGTTTTATACTGCAATTTAACAGTAGAGAGATACTAAAAATAGTCCAAAGGTAAAATTAAAGTTTACATAACGCAGCGTCAATAAAAATCCCTTTTACAATTTTCAGAATAGATGAACTGTTAAAATGAATTGCTTTGTAACAGCTGATAACAATTTGATTCAGTGGGTTTTTTCACAATCAGAATAATTGTCATATAAAAAAGAATGCCATCAAAAATTCATCAAATACATTAATAAGTACTAAATCATTCAGGGGGATTGTTCAATTGTATTAGACTAAGTTACACTCTAGAATACATTATTTATTCTTTGTTTCTATTTACAGATGCAACAACATTGCCGACAACTGTGGTCCATCATACTTCTGTTCCTCTAATAAACCCGTGTATTTCCTCTGAGACCACGTGTGATAAATCCTGTAACTACGGCTTTCTGATTGGTCCAAACAATTGCCAGTATTGCTTATGCTCACCATATGTTCAAAGAATAACAACTGGTAAGAATTCAAAAGAAAAATTTGATGTAAAAATTAGGAGTGTGGTGTGATTGCCATTGAAACAAGTTTCCGTCTAAGACAGAATGAAAAATAAAATGTAATGATGAGTGCAAGACCGGGAAACCTCAAGACTCCCAATGGTAATATTTCCCGTCTTTGACGAGTCTTGCCCGTGTTTATGACCAACTAAAACCTTATCTGATGTTCTCTTTTACGCCATACCAACTTGAAATTGGTTGAACAGGTTGATTGTGACAGGAATATATCTGTCCTTGGCAAACACGTTGATTGTGACAGGAATATATCTGTCCTTGGCAAACACGTTGATTGTGACAGGAATATATCTGTCCTTGGCAAACACGTTGATTGTGACAGGAATATATTTGTTCTTGGCAAACACGCGATAGTTTACCTTCACCCAAGCGAAAACCATCAATATTGAAACGTTCATTTGTGTTTAATATAGACCAATAAGTTACGCTATTATATCCTTAAGCTGACTAAAATTTCAAAAGAGCACATAACGAACTAAATCTCAGAAAAACTTAAGTCAAAAAAAATCCAGGTACATGAAGACTGGCTTTGGAAACCAGTGGGTTGGAAGACTACCTCGATTCTAGCACAAACTTAACCCTTTAAGCAGCATATGTTAAGAGTATGATCATAGGAACACGATACGGTTTTATAAGTTTTTCGACCCTATCCAACTATTCATATATCTCCTGCGGCATTCAAACATGCTACCTTGTGTGATCTCTTCAAAAATTCTTTTATTTTACACTGTTACATTAAAGCATTATTCTTAAAAACATTATATCCTGGAAAGAGATGTTAAAAACTAACGATTGGCTTTGTCAGATTTAGGAAATTACAGCAATTTTGCATAAATCAACACGTGGAAGTTTTCAGAATAATTGTTTTAATACATAACGTCGAAAATACGGCCTTGCTTGTTCATTTGGACCTGTATATGTTAAAGGATTTCCCTGTTGTATTTAATTGATATAAAGGACAGCCATTTATATAACATTTTACTCTATTTATTCTTAATGTGTATATTTCTTTTTGCGTTGCACCCTTCATCGTATTATGGAGTTAACAATCCTAGAACCGTTTACGACATGTCATAAACTTTTAATAATTATAGAAACACCTTCGACTTTAAACAACGCATGCATACCTAGCCAGAAGTGTACTCTTAAGTGTGAACATGGATATGTCCATGGACCCAGTGGTTGTCAATACTGTTTATGTGCGCCCAATGCAACGCAATGTATGTATTTGTGGGGTTTTTTTAATATTATTTGCCACCAAAAAATATAATTCAACAAGATTTATAAGGGCCAACTGTCAACATATAATGGTTCGTTCTAACGAAAGTTCCTCTGGAACAACAACAAAACAACATATAAATGTCAACATATAGGACAACCCACCATACATCAAGCTCAAATTCCTCTAATTTAGACAGATTATAAGGTGTAATAAATAAAAACCTACCATCAACACCACATGCCTCAATAGACATTAATAATAAGATATACAAACAAAACAACTACCGAACGTAACGCCATTTTTTATTGTATGGCGTTTGTCGACAGTTCTTCGGCTTAAGAGTTAAACACTTCGTGATATCGCTTTTCCGGGAAATTTCAAAAGTTTTATTTTGAACATTTCCGAGTACACAGTTTGGTATTTTAGTTTCGTCAGCTCTTCGACGTCTGTTTATGTTTTTGATTTTCAAATAATTTGTCCTCGACCATTACCGAAAAGACATTAATTGTCGAAATGTGCATCTATTTCGGCAACATTGGTACCGTTTATGTTATATATATATAAAAAAAAGTCTAAATTGAATACAACGTTCAAACCTTTGATTGCGTTGGATAAAAACCGCAATTTTTATACGTGTGCATGCAAAACAAATTTCTTGTTAGAGGGGTCTAAATACAGCACAAACAACATTTTCCAAAAGACCAAAAAAGTGAAAAAGTATATTTTAACAAAACGCATTTGACTAACAGGTCGAACAACATATGTTCTTAAACCCTGCTGACTGCCATTGGCGATTGCCAAATAAACGGATCACCGATGTAATAAAAGGATCTTAATTATAAATTTAATACTAAACAGAAAACAATAAACTTGCGGAAAAGATGGTATACCGCAAACAAAAGGTGCAAAGGTTTTTGTACACCATACCCGGATTTCGACAATTAATGTCTCTTCAGTGATGTTAGGAATCGAAACGGTATTTGGAAAGCCTATATATATATACATTGGTTTTATTTATATTTTAGCTGTACCCACCACACAGGGTCCAAGAAAATTATATAGCAACGTTAACACAATGAGTGAAAAATGTGTAATAGCAATAGCTATCTGCCAGGTGAAGTGTAAGAAAGGTTTTATGACAGACAAAAATGACTGTACGTTCTGCACGTGCAAGGCAGATATTGAAGCGGCATGTAAGTTATTATCCAATGATATAATTTTAATACATAGTGTTGTACATTTAAGTCCAGTGGCAAATATTTCGTGCATATGCATGTCTTTTAATTGTTATTCGTTTTTATCCATGGCATTGTTAGTTTGTTTTTGACTTTTAGTGTGTCACTTTGGTATCTTGCACAGTCTCATCTCACGCCCTTGTGACATCTAGACCAATCAAAACGTCTTAAAAAGCGATGTTCCCATAACGCATGCCTAAAGTTTGATGAACGTAATAACACAGTATCGACGACATGCAAATGACCATATTTTATCGATATCCAGTAGCGCAATTACAAAAGATGTTGTAAATACCAAATGGAAATTTAATTACTATTCGGATATTTTTTTTTTTTTTTTTTTACTTCTCAAGATCAAATTTTACGATTTACCTGGATCCGCCCTGCATAACTCACAAAGTTACAAAATAACTTTCACAAACGCGTGTATCCATGTCTGCTGCAAAAAAAAAACAATATCACCTGTTGTGCCTTCAGATAAATCAGAGTAAATCGGAGAAATTAGGACCATGACCAAAAGAAAAAAACATTGAAAGACATTTTAAACAATCAACAAAAACCTAGCAAACAAAAAAATGGAGGATTGGCACCATGTTTCCTTGCAGTGCATCTAAATAAGTCAGAAGAACCTAGTATTATCAAACCTGGGACCAATAGATAGTCCCAGATCAAACTAATGAACCCCTGTGTTCAGACCTTCGACTCGGACTTGTAGTATTTTTTGAACTTGTGGATATCAACGTTGTACAAATGTGTGTTCTTACTAAAAGGGGCTAGTTAGAATGATGTGATAAATTAATAATACTACTATGGACTGAAAATTTGCCAATAGTGTCTTATTCCCCATCGTGATACCACCGAGTCTGCATTTGCATGGCGAATAATGTATTCATAACAGGTGACACATATGCTATCGACGCACTTGGTATTGCTCCGTTCAGAGTTCTTTCGGTTCTCTCGGGTTTTTTTCTTCTCTTGGTTGCTATATTTCAATTGAATTTTCAAGTTTATAACATCGGTGGCCTCTTGTTTTTTGCCATATAATTGACCAGACATGCATTCTTAATTGTTACCACATAGTATATATACCAATGAGTTTAAATCAAGTGGTTTTAATTAAGTCTTACTATAATTTCAGGATATGTTGATTTTATTACAGTGCACCTTACCAAGTCAGTAGAACCAATAATCAAACTGATGAAACCTTGTGTTCAGGAATTCGACACGTGTAACATCTTTTGTGCGCATGGATATCTACGTGGTCCAGACAACTGTCAATTCTGTGCATGCTCTCACTGAGAGAGAGGCTGGTGGCGAAGAACAAATACAATGACTTTTGAATAATAAATGATCTGATTCCGTTTTTATGGTGATTTATTTAGAACCGAGTTGGTTTAGGTTTGGGGTCTGCAGTTGGTCATCATCAAGTCTGCTGAAAGTTAACCTGGCCAATATAATGGGTTATAAGAGTCAAACGAAAATAGGACTTGATTTAAAAGTAAACAATTACTAACAAAATTTCGTGACAGTACTAATAGATTAAACATACAATCAGGACATGGTCAATATAAAGATATTCAAAGTGAACACAGGTTATGTAGTAGAAGAGATGAAGTTAGAGATAAATATAATGTTTTCTTTATTGTAATTTTAATGTATAATTTAAGTATAATTATTTTTTCAAACTTCAATCATTACTATTTAGTATTGAAACTATTAGTTTTAATACAATAAAAATTTGCAAAATGATTAACCCTAAATCTGAACTTTTCAGCTGCATATGATTTTATAACAATGCACAAATTGGGGTTTACATTTTATTCCTTTGATTAGTACTTCAGTTTTTGTTATTTCGTCGTATTCACGAATGTTTTTTTTTCGGCCGATATGGACATAATTGCAATAAAAGAAGTGAAAAAAAAACCCGAAAGGATTAATGGTTTTATATCATTGAGACAACAACCCAACAACATGATAATAAGACCAGAAAAGACACAAATAGAATTGTATTTCATTTTGTCATGTCGTGGCCTTCGATAGCTTGATATGCGGTAAGGGTTTTGCTCATTGTTGAAGGTCGTACGATGACATATAGTTGCTAACTTATTCGCTATTTGGTCTCTGGTGCAAATTTGTCTTATTGGTTATCATACCAAATCTCTTGATTTTTATATAGAGGTCGCAAGTGGTATAAGCAAGACAAGTATGCTTATAATAAGAAAGAAGTATCAAGGCGAAATAAAAAAAAAGTTACATGTTACTGGTTGCAAAGAATAAAAATAGAATACAACGATTGCAAGAAATCACTATTGGACATTGTGAAGCATGCTAAATTCAAAGTATACATATTTAATAACGGCATAACAATGTATAAATAGTATTATTTGTTTTATGATCCAAGTATCATGCAATTGACAGCAACATGTAATGAGACTATATATATTATTTTTAACGTTATTCAATAGATTTGTTTTTGTAAATTATATATTCGTTCACATTATAAGATTATGTGAGTTTTTTCCAGGATTCCGTGATTGTTTCCCAAAGTTCTATTAGTTATGTTGGTATTTTAAGCATTTAATTAGATAATGAACTTCCAATGGCATTTTTAAACATGGTGTAAACAATATACTGTTTTAAATTGGTACACTGGTGCGCGATAAAACACAACCGTCTTAAGTCCATAAGCTACAAATATAGAACTGTAAAAGGAAGTAGCACTGTGTATATTTTATTAACAATGTCAACCTTGTTATTATCTGATATACATTTACCTTAAGTCACATTCCTATGTAAAGAGTTACTGCCTATAAACAAAGCCTTTACTGAAGAATGCGGTGTTCCCAACAATATAGGAGTCTGAATTCTTTATAAATACAAATGTCTTGTAGGGTTTTCTGACCTCCTGATAGAACTGTGATTTCCGGGTGTCCTTGATGTATATATACTAGTCTTATATATATATTCTGTAAAAACGATATGTAACCAATATAAAATTGTCCTAAAATAAGGTCATCGGTGAATTGCATTGGCAATGTTGTATAGCGAATACCTGAAGGTAAGGTCGACGTATGTACAAAACAAATACATGCAATTTCAAAACTGTTACTTCTTGTTATTACTACAAAAAGTGTTTTTTAATTAACAGTCGTCATGCCATTGGTAACAAACTTGTTTATGTATTAGTATGAGACAGACTTATGTTAGAACTTCTTATGAAGAATAAAAAGAAGCTAACATTATCCTTTGATTTCACGTTCATATACCTAGGAAAGTAATTTCACCAAGTTATTCCAAGTTTGGTGAAACAAGTGATAGGTTTAGGTAACTATAAACCCTGTTACCAGGTTTAACTCACCATTTTCAGAAAATGTTTGTACCAAGTAAGGAATATGACAGTTGTTTTTCATTCGTTCGGTTGGTTGATTATAGTCGAGCGTTTAATTTTATCAGGTTTTATGGACTTCCCCCTTTTTGTATTCTAGATAACAAAATTTTCCCATTAGCCTTTGGTTTCACGTTTAGATACATAAAAGTCATTTTAGCAAGTAATCCAAAGTTTGGTGACTATGTTGACGGCGTCTATTCCATTCAAATTAAGTAAATGGATACCACAGATACAGTTATATCTGTATAATATTATGACTGACAGAAATTGACCAAGGTTAAATTGAAGTCAACTCTTCGAGATTTATGGACACATCATAATTTAGTTGACCATTCTGAAATATCTGTGTCGCATATACCAACGTATATGTTCAACTTCTTGTAGCCTCAATCCAACCTTTTTTTTCTGGTTTACAACATCAATGAATTCGACTTTCATCAGATTTTTACTTGCAAATAGCAATGCGACAATTGCCAATAGTGGAGTAGGATCTTGTTCTCCTTCCGGGAACACCTGAATACATACACGGATCTCGATTGCTAAATTTTTAGCGGTGTTATTTTTCTGTTCCGTCTATTTTCTTTTTCCCATGGTTTTGTAAGTTTTTGTTCGACTTGAAGTATCATTTCCTTTCTTTTTATGCACATAGTCACGTATTGAACAGGAACTGCTAACCTTTCCGGAGCACCTGAGTTTACCCGCGGTATTTGATGGGATTCGTGTTGCTAAATCTTTAGTTTTCTTTGTCATGTTTTGTTATTTTTATGCCCCACCTACGATAGTAGAGGGGCATTATGTTTTTCGGTCTGTGCGTCTGTTCGTTCGTTCGTTCGTCCGTTCGTTCGTCTGTCTGTCCCGCTTCAGGTTAAAGTTTTTGGTCAAGGTAGTTTGTGATGAAGTTGAAGTCCAATCAACTTGAAACTTAGTACACTTGTTCCCTTTGATATGATCTTTCTAATTTTAATGCCAAATTAGAGTTTTGACCCCAATTTCACGGTCCACTGAACATAGAAAATGATAGTGCGTGTGGGGCATCCGTGTACTATGGACACATTCTTATTTTACCATATTTTATAAGAGTATTCAAATTAAGATTTCTAAACATAAACCAAAAAATGTTCATAGACTTAAAACAAATAACGTTTGTAACTTAGTTATCCAAAAAAAATGTAATTAATGTAGATTTAAAGGTTTAAGGTTTTTGATTTCTTTAATGAGAGCGTGGGTAACTTTAAACATGTGCTCTAATATGTGTTTATTTTACGGAGGAACATGTCTTTTTTTCAGAAATCAAACATCACCAGACCAAAGTCCGGAAGTACTTTAAAGACACTAAACCGAAAAACGAATTCCAAAAGGGGAAAGTGACACAATTTGTTTAAATATAGACAAAAAGATATAGTCCTGCCTCGCATCATAGTAATCTTAATGTAATAAGATATATTAATAATGATAGCCAGGACAGGTGTCAAAGAGCAGATAACCTATGGCTATACATAGAATATTTCGTGATTCCATGTAGAAAGCAATACAACGAACATGGAACTGCTTGTGGTTATAACTGCACTCGTTTCAGGTAGGCGTTCCAATATATTGCAGTCTTGCTGTATTTTCATGTGGCATTTTCATAGCAAAGATAACCCTTTGTACTTCTTGTCGGTCGTATTTACGTCATTAATATAATGCATTGAAAGCCTTTGACATGCATGTAATGTATTTTCGTGAGCAGAGGTATTCAACTAACATCTGTGGCTACCTAAAATAGCTTCCTGAAGTTGAGAGCGCATTGTGACTATGCTTTCTAAATTACTAGTATGTTAAATTATCGTTTTTTGAAAAACACGGCTTTTCGGAACGTTCGGTTTTAGATGCTCTTCGACTTTGAATTTGATTCGGCCTTCGAACGTTTTTAATTCGAGCGCCACTGACGAGTCTTATGTTGTCGAAACGCGCTTCTGCCGTAACAAATTATAAGACTGGTATCTTTGATGAGTTTATTGTTTGCCGTATTATTTCGAAATAATTTTATACCTTTATGGCTTTCCACAGTTTTGGTTTTTAATCATTTTTTATCAATAAAAGAGCTTTTCTCCCACCCTGCCAATTCGATATGTTTCCCTTTATATCAAACACAGAATAACATTGTACATCAAATTATTGTTTGAAAATGCTAGCACCCAAATAACAAATGTATACTTAAATAGATCCTCGTATTTCCTGGTATAAGTTTGCGTGCTTAACACTTATTAATAAACAAGTTCTGTTCTCTTGCTTATGAAATGTATTTTTTCTTAATTTATATTATTGTCTTGTTTAATTATCAAGTCCGTTTTGTCCAATTTGTGTATCTCATTCTTACTGTTTTGTTTTCTTTGTTAAATTTATATTTTGATCTTGTTTATTAAGTGTGTTCTGCCCAAGGCTGGCTATTTGGAGATGGAGGCGGAGGTCATATCTTCGGCCCAGGAGGTCACATGTGTATACCTCTGAATAGATACTGCAGCCTACAATGTTTAACCTACGAAAAGGACGGCAGTGGGTGTAATGTTTGCCATTGTAAAGGCGATGGAGGTATGTATATCGTAAATTTGTGGAAAACTTTTTATTAGCAAAACGCTATTTTGATCTTTTTAGTATGTGCTGATAAAACAATTGTTCTTTGCACACACGTAAATAGACATGATATTTGTATGTTTCGGAGTTTAGTGTGGCGTCCATTTTTCTGAACTGGTAAACATTATTTTAGGGGCCAACTGTAGCCTGCCTCCGGGTGCGAGGTTTTCTCGCTGCGTTGAGGACCCATTGGTGGCATTGGGCTGTATTCTGCTCTATGGTCGTGTTGTGGTCTCTTTTGTTCTTTTTGGATTAAAGCTCTTCATCTTTTTATTAAGCTATGGATTTTCAAATATTTTGGCCCTAACGCATCACTGATGAGACAGTTATTGTCGAAATGCGCATCGGGTGCAGAAAAATTGGTACCATTAATGTTATTATTTGACACATTCCACGTTTCCATTCTCTATTCTATATAAAGTTTGACGCATTTCTTATGTTGATCCTTTTAAAGTTTGACGCATTTCTTATGTTGATCCTTTTAATGTTTGACGCATTTCTTATGTTGATCCTTTTAAAGTTTGACGCATTTCTATGTGACTTGATTAAACAAAATTTATCAAAAAAATTCACAACAAAGCTAAACAAAATGAGGATTCCCAGGCTTAACTCTCGTCAGTTGAATCTAAGTTTTTGTTACATTGTAACGTTTACACAAAAGTGAAAAAATGAGTTATTAAGTTAACATTAGAGGATACCACTATCTACCAGAGACCAAAGGACGTGTCATGTTGCACTAGAATTTTTATCTTCTACTATTAATAGCCACTGCAGTGTTAACAGGACCAGACCATGGGACTGCTTACCACACCATACACAATCCTTGCATACCTACACAGTCCAATTGTCCTCTAAAATGTGAGGAATTTGTCAAAGGTGGCAGCGGATGTGAGTTCTGCATGTGTGCAAATGTACACCATGAAGCAAGTACTACACAAGGTAAGATACCATGTAAAGAGTACTACAGAAAGGTATGTCAACACACAGAAAGTACTACCAGATGTGTGTTTGGACACGTAAAATATTGTTCTCTTCACACTGTGATATATATAACTGTACTCACAAAAAGAGCAAATACTGAATAGGTGAAATAAACTTAACGTAACTTTAGTAGACAAAACGTTGACCAATGAATCTGAGACGTTCAATAGGTAACTGCATTTTTCTATATTGATATTAAAATGGATATGTATCACTGTTTCTGACACAGAAGTTTCTATTCAGTTGTACCAAATCAAATACACCTAAGCGCATCAAGACAAACAATGTCCTTTCCCTCGGGCTAGGGGTCAAACTTGTATGGGCCCAGAAACTTAGAACAAACATTGGAGCTGAATTAACCCCAAAAGACTATAAAATAAAGCCAAACCTAATTAAGGAAAACTCAACAACTTTTCATATTAACAGTTTCTCGTCGCGGATCAATTGTTGAATATATTATAATGACGAACATCAGTCGGGTAATCTCGGGACGGAACACCCTTCAACCTCGACGGTACTAATATTAATGTGTAATATTAAAGTACTAAAGTATCAAAAGCAAAAACGAATTCGTATTTCATTTATACTTATTATAAAAAAAGAAGATGTGGTATGATTGCCAATGAGAAAACTCTCCACCCGAGACCAAATAACATAAAAATTAACATTTATAGTTCACCGTACGCCTTCAACAATTAGCAAAACCCATATCGCGTAGTCAGCTATAAAAGGCCCCGAAATGACACCACGTTTCACACTTTTATTATCAAAGCACCACCTACAACAACAATGCAAGCACAGACAACCACAAACCAGCCGACGACACAAACACCAGCTCCTACAACCATGGGATCTACAGTCAGTCAAGACTGCATCATTGCCAGACAGATCTGCAGTGCTAAATGTAACGGGAAATATCTAGTCGATCCCTCGGATTGTACCTTCTGCATATGCAAGAGTGAGATTCATAACAGGAGAAGAAGATAGGTAAGCTAATTTCAGCGCATTTAAGGATGTTCGCTTCTCTGTTTCAAAATAAAAAGCTTTTTAAAAGACTGTTATAAATTGATAATATATGAATAACGGAACTTAAATGCAGAAAAAATACATGTTCGTGTCCTGGTTTTTGACATATAATCAATTGAAAATTTTGCGGGAAATGATTCTCTCTAGATTTTACATACATTAAACATTGGAACTTTTTTTCATTTAAAACCATGAAAAAATCACAAGGATTTTATAAGATTTTAAAAAATGGCTTTTTAAACTAGATGTAATAAAATTATGAAAAGAAAAGTAGGGGTTAGTGTGCAAAATTTAAATTGGCACTACATGGATGAAACTGGAGGATTCCGAATATCTGCCAAAAAGAGAAAAGAAACAAAAGTAGTGAACATCCTTAAAGTAAATGAATGAATTAAGAGTTCGCACGTTAAACAATCTGCCGTTTCAGAATCTAATGCATTCTGTGAAATATTTTCAAAAGCATGCACCAAAACGTTTTGGTTGGCTAAAACCTCGACCCCGTGGAAATGTTTAAATTTTACCAATGACGTGACTTCATTTTCATTTGGGGTACGAAGAATGAAATGAAACGTATACCTAATCAGACGTATTGACCTTTAATTCAATAATAAACTTTAGTTACTTTATAGAATAAAAGTTTTTACAGTTTTGGTAAAAAAAAAAGAATATGAGATAAAAAAAAAAAAATAACAACACATTTCCCTTGAATTGAGAGCATACATATTTTCTATTCTTTAATTTCTCATAATAACTTTATATTTACGAGCTAGTATTGCAATTTTGTTTCATTTAACAAATACAAAGAGATTCCTTAAAGTTGTGACATATCATTTTTTTTCCAGGAAGAATGTGGTGACTTGTCTGTACTTACAACTTTGAACATAAGGAAATCCATAGAGAGAATAAAAACAATTATTCAGAGACATTAATGTTGAATGTCTAGTCTTTTGCTCAAATGATTTTATCCGTAAATTGGATTTAATTGAAGTCGATTGATTTCCCGTGCCTTTAATAAATATGACGTAATTGTTAACTCATTAAGCCCTCATATCGAAACTGGGATTTTATCATGCTTCATATCATTATTAGGTTGAGAAAAAGATGTCAATTTTTTGTTGGGTTTCTATTTCTGACAATTTATGGATTTTCTGTGGTCTTTAGTGGTCATTTGTTTGTCTATCATGGTGTTGTATGTGTGTTGCTTCGAATTATCGCCAAGTAAGACTGGGGAATAGAAAATGGTCAAAGTGGAGCATCCGTTTGACTGTGCGGGATGTATAAATAAGCAGCTACGTCAGGTCTGAATGGGGACGTTAAATCCTATGCCTCGTGTAGAGAGAGCGCCACGTTCTTTGCAAATTTAGAAACGAGGGCAACAACTCTTTGAGGGGTCCGTAGCATGATTGCCGTCCCTAACCAATATAGCATTAATCTCCTTTTCAAGTAGCAGTCCAAATTTCCCGACCTTCATCCAAGACGGCCTCAATAACCATCAATCAACCGATCAATCAACCGATCAATCAACTTATTTTGATTGTCCTCTGCGAATCTCATCCCCTTTATAAAGATTTACATTGCAAAAATACATAGGATACGAAGGAAAATATCTCTCTTTTCGCATACCAATGTATTATTTTCATCTATCGAGACACGAAGGTTTTTCGACAGATAACTATCCTAGGAGATTAAGATCATGAACTAGGGGAGACTAGTAGTAGAAATTCTGTTGTCCTCACTGTATTTAAAGTACTAGTATATGTTTTCTTTCATAACGTCTTCTAAGAAAACACTTCAAAGATACCAGGCTTATAATAATTTGGTTTACAAAAGCCTCATCAGATTCGCTTTAATCAAAACAGTTCATAGGACAAATAAAGTACGAAATTGAAGAGAATTGAGGCCAAACTTTCCAAAGGGTTTTTTCCAAATTTAACTAAGGTCGACTATTCCTTGGGTAGAAAATCCTTCGTATTTCGAAAAATTCAAAGTTTTGTAAACAGTTGATATTATTGAAAGACGGTTATATTAATGAAACAAACTTATCAATTTTTGGCAGGTCAAGGAAATTGTTCATATGTTAAACTAAACATACAATAAAAGTGACCACACAGCTTTCCTGGATCATCGAAGAATACCTTATATTTCCGATTCTGTATCAAACATTTTAAAAAGAAAACGACGGACTCGTTAGAAGCGAAAAATTGTCAATGGGATAGCAATAAAATAACGTAAATGAACAACAAAGACATAATTTCGAGGCCTCGTCGGTACTTGGAAAATGAAGAACAACTATTAAAGCATTGTTCATTTGCTTCTCGTGTCATCAAGAAGAAAGAGGGATCTTGTGTCATGAATAGGTACACTTTATCATTTTGCTAACATTAGCAGGAGGGCAACATGCGGTTTTAAAAAAAAGACAAGTGTCAATACAATATATAGAGCTCTAATTCGTACAGATAATATAAAAATAAGAAGATGTGGTATAATTGCCAACGAGACAACTCTCCACAAGAGACCAAATGACACAGAAATTAACAACTATAGGTCACCGTACGGCCTTCAACAATGAGCAAAACCCATACCGCATAGTCAGCTATAAAAGGCCCCGAAATGACCAATGTAAAACAATTCATACGAGAAAACTAACGGCCTAATTTATGTACAAAATATGAACGAAAAACAAATATGATACACAGAAACAAACGACAACCACTGAATTACAGGCTCCTGACTTGGGACAGACACAGCAAGGAAATTGAGAAGTTAGATGTAATAAGGACTATCAAAAATGTATTGACAATATCACTAATGGCGATTCCCTAAATAAAAACAATAAAATAATAATAAAAAGACAACAGTTTTCGCTTTGAATATTGGAAACAAAACAAAGTCAATTTAAAAAATCTATTTTACAACCTGTCAAAATGTTATATTCAGTTTATAATTGTTATTTATCAACTTCAACATATAAATAACCAGAACAGTGCTTTAATTAAATATTGTAAGAACTATACAAATAACATTCAAATATTTCAATATGTTTTATCACAAATAAATATAAATAGTTGATAACCAAAAACATAAATAACAAAGTTGTTGGAACAATAGCATCTTCGTCTTTGCTACCATTCTAATAAAGTTCTACCTCATTCAGAAAAAAGGCAACAGTATTTTCCGATGTTCAAATCTCTTAAAACGATTAAGAACATGCAAATCAATGCAGTGGAAAAAATGATAGAATTGCATGAACTTAAAAAAAGCGAGACCGGAGACTGGAAACCAATTTGTGATGGTGACCGTAAAACTTGTGTAATGTCAATTTTGGTCATTCCTCCTCATAACTCTGTTTGAGCAGATTTACACACGGTACCAATTTCCGTGTGCATGACAGGAGATTCTGTATTAGAGACCACAAAATATAAGTGTGTGATTGTACAAACCAACAGGCATAAACAAAACAGCATAAAACGTCTAATGTTGACTGTGTTTGAGTGAATAGTTTGTTAAAGTAAAGTTACCTAACTTATGCATTGTATTTAGAATCAAATTGAAACATTTAAATCAGCCCAGTTAGTTTGAATATGACATAGACATTTGCGTTTCTTTATGGTATATAAAATTAAGCTAGAGAACGGAAACTAAAAATTTTGCAATTTTTCCATTTATAAAGGGGCATACCTCTAGAACGGTTAAAGTGATGCCACCAAAATTTAAACTTTATCTGTGTTTTGTGGTAATAAGCATTGTGTATAAGTTTCATAACATTTGGTTGAGACAAACTCAAGTTAGAGAACGGAAACCAATTTTGGTTTACGTACGTACAGACGGACAAGGGTAAAACTTAATGCCCCCACCGTTACGGCAGGGGCATAAAAAGGTAAAATAACAAAAATACCGAACTCCAAGGAAAATTCAAATCGGAAAGTCCCTTATCAAATGGCAAAATCAAAAGCTCAAACACACCAAACGAAAGGAAAACAAATGTCATATTCCTGACTTGGTACAGGTATTTCCTTATGTAGAAAATGGTGGATTAAACCTGGTTTTATAGCCAGCTAAACCTCTCATTTGTATGCCAGTCGCATAAAATTCCATTATATTGACAACAATGTGTGAACAAAACAAACAGACATAATAGGTAAAAATGTCAAAAATAGGGGTACAGCAGTCAGCATTGTGTTATAATCTTAATCACTATAAAAGCCAACAAATATGTCAAAAAAGAAAAACAAAATGTCATATAGACAAAGCAGATAAGCAAAAATGAAAGACAATGTATAGTCAAACATGCTATATATGTCACCTCTATTAAGCCACAAAACTGTCAGGCCAGGTTACCCCTTTCATGTCATGTTGTAAAAATATCTAGGCATTTTGACCCTCAATTGAAAAGTCACCTCTCTTATGAGGTCATTTTTCTTTGGTTCCGAGTGTGACCTTTTACATACAGGTATATACGTTTTAAGCAAGCAATATACAATGACATTTCAATGATTAGCATAAACACTTTTAAATATTTGTTCATATTCAAAAAATTACAGAAAAATAGATCCAACAAATAAATGGTAGCCATCCTGATGTCATTACTTGATAAAAAAATAACAAAAATACCGAACTCCAAGGAAATCAAATCGGAAAGTCCCTTATAAAATGGCAAAATCAAAAGCTCAAACTCATCAAACGAATGGAAAACAATTGTCATATTCCTGACTTGGTACAGGCATTTCCTTATGTAGAAAATGGTGGATTAAAGCTGGTTTTATAGCTAGCTAAACCTCTCACTTGTATGACAGTTGCATAAAATTCCATTGTGTGAACAAAACAAACAGACATAATAGGTCAAAAATAGGGGTACAGATAAATGACACATGATCGAGCTCAGTTTAAATAGTAACTTAAGTAAACTGAAACGTTCTTTTTAAAACAAAATCTCTGAGTCAATACTCACACGTTATTCAAAATTTTGTATTACATGCATATTGCGAATATTAAATATATAATAAAAACTCAATATTACAATTTCAATTTTCCTAAAAAGGATTACCCTAAATTACGTTGCTGTATATACAAATCCCAATCATGTAAAATTGATTGAGTTAAAGAAAACTATAAACTTAGCGTATCGTTCAACTTAATAAAGCGTGCAATTATATTGTGTAGAATTAGACTTAAAGTCGACAAATCCTGTGTCCTCCGTTTAATCACTTTACAGTTTGTAATTTTTTCACTCAAAATACAATAATGCTAGCAATACAATTATAATGTAGATTTTGTCTTAAAGAGTACTAGTCCTGTGTCCTCCGTTGCTATGTAGCCCTCTTTGGGTTTTCTCTCCCATTGAGATGATATCTCTTCTATTGTTTTGTTCTTCGTTTCTGGTAGATATTTTAATAAAAATACCCAGAAAATCGCAAGAAATCCAGTGAATGGTAGAAAGGAATAATGTCCAATAGCTTTCTAAAAAAACAAAAAAAAATATAAATACATATATCGTGGAAAGTTTAACATTTTGTAGAAATAGCTATCAGCAAAATGAAAACCAACTTATGTTCGCGTTAAATATTTTTTAGCCGACTGCAAGGCGACCATATTTTCGCTACTTAATGCATTATAAAAGAGAAGACAAAAAGATCCAAATTCGATATATTCATGAAGATTCAAATTTTGAGTTATCTTATTCATAGTATTACAGTTGCATTTATTTGATAAATGTATTTGTTTTTAGTTACAATAACTGTTTTATGAATATCGCATTTTTATTCGAAATGAGGGGATGCTAGTGTGCATATATCCCAATTGACAATTATTGTCACATTAACCTATTATGTCTGTTTTGGTTGCTTACCCAATTTTGTCAATATAACGGAATTATAAACAATTGTCATACAAGTGAGAGGTTTACCTAGCTACCCAGGTTAAACGCACCATTTTCTTCGGAAAATACCTGTACCAAGTTAGGAATATGGAAGTTGTTTTCACTTGTTCCGTTGATTGATAGCGTTTCATTTTGTCCGTTTTATGGACTTCCCATTTTTAAATTTGCCTTGTTTCGATTTGAGCGTTCCTCGTGAAGGTAAAGCCAGAAAAAAGCGTATTGAGCGCACGAAATTTTGTAAACTGTTTAATAGTACGTCTACTTAATAGAAGTGCTATTATTATACTTGAAGAATATTTGCACCTTATAGAACATGTTATTATTTACCAGAAGTATAATTTTACCTAACATAACATTTTATTATTTACCTAGAGCATACTTGTACCTAATAGAATATATTAATGTTTACCTGAAGTATATTTTAAGCTATCATAACATTTTATTATTTACCTAGAGCATACTTGTACCTGATAGAACATATCATTATTTACCTAGCGCATACTTGATAATGTTCTCCTAAATAATATTTATGTACGTTTCGGCAATAAAGTTTATCTACAGGTTGTAGGTATTCCTATGGGCACCAATTGCGCCCCTTTAATAGCAAGCATGCGCCCCTTTAATAGCAAGCAGACTTGTTCTTGTACTGTTATGAGTCACTGTTTATGACCAAACTCAGTAAAGACCCGTCTTAATTGCATTTAATTGATAAATTTAACAACACATATCGTTATCTAGATGATGTTTTTTCGTTAAATAATCATGAATTTTCTAAATATACTACCGAAATTTACCCAAAGGAACTTATTTTGAATAAATCAAGTATAAACGGTAAAAACTATCCTTTCCTAGATTTAGATATTTCAGTTCCACACGGGAAACACTACACTTAAATTTACGACAAAAGGGACGATTTTTCATTCTATATTGTTAATTTTCCTCTTTTTTTTGGACAGTGATGTTCCTTTGGCACCATCTTAGAGTGTTCTTATATCACAACTCGTTCGCTATGCTCGTGTCTGTTGTGATGTTTTGGATTTCAATGAACGTAATCTATACATACATATATTACTGGTAAATTATTAAGTCAGGGATTTCATTACCACTAATTACTTAAAACCTTTACTAAGTTATTCCATAGATATAAAAATTTGGTTTTGAAGTTTGATTGTACGTGTAGAAAACTTATTTCAAACGTGATAGCACATCCTAATTTTTACGGATATGGTGTTTACCTAGCCCGGCAATTTAGATACGATCCGGGTAAACTTATTGATCCTTTAAATAAACTTATTCTAAAAGGTTACCAATTCAACACTATAATTAGATCTTTGAATGTTGTTTTTTTTTTTGTATTGATATTGACTTTGTTTTCAGTATATCAAAATCAAACTAAATATTATTTTTAAAACATATGCGCATTCATGGCTCTACAATCTGTCGATACCTGTATCTTGGCATTTCACAAGGTCATGTTTTTCTCTTGACTGTTAATGACGTCTTTACACTAAATCCATTGGATGTTGGATGTGTACTGATTGATATTTTAGTCTTAGATGCATGATTTTTTTTATTACTTGTTATTGGCTTTGAACTAGCTGTCAGAAACTGCGAGTACTCTCAGATCTGTACTTCGTGTCTTTTTGTTGTTGGGATGTATAAGTACCCTGCCACGTGAACTCTTATTAGATGTATTTCTATTTGTGTCCATCTGATGAGTTAAGCCTTTTCCAAATGATTTTTAAAGTTTGTTCTTATGTTGTACTATTAAACCACTATCCCAGGTTAGGGGAGAGTTGGGCACCCGCTAACATGATTAACCACGCCACATTCTGTATGTGCCTGTCCAAAGTCAGGAGCCTGTTATTCAGTGGTTGTCTTTTGTTTCTGTGAATCATATTTGTTTTTTGTTCATTATTTTGTACATAAATTAGGCCGTTAGTTTTCTCGTTTGAATTGTTTTACATTGGTCATTTCGGGGCCTTTTATAGCTGACTATGTGGTATTGGTTTTGCTCATTGTTGAAGGCAAGCATACCGAATCTTCTTCATTTTATTTGTACCTAATAGAACATGTTATTATTTACCAGGTCTATACTTTTACCTAACATAACATTTTATTATTTACCTAAAAAGTAAAATAACAAAAATACCGAACTCCAACGAAAATTCAAATCGGAATGTCCCTTATCAAATGGCAAAATCGATAGCTCAAACACATCAAACGAATGGAAAACAACTGTCATATTCTTAACTTGGTACATGCATTTTCTCATGTAGAAAATGGTGGATTTAACCTGGTTTTATAGCTAGCTAAACCTCTCACTTGTATGGCAGTCGCATTAAATTCCATTATATTGACAACAATGTGTCATACTTGTACCTAATAGAACATTTTTTTCATTTACCTGAAGTATACTTGTACATAATAGAACATGTTATTGTTTACCTGAAGAATAGGGTAAAGGTATCCAACAGCAAAGTTAGATATCCAGTTGATCAGAACACTGATACTCATTGCTGCTGGCCTTGGACCTTGTGAGAATAACTCTGCAACAATCATCCATGGTATCGAACCTGTCAATTTTTTTAATAATTGATTAATATTTTACTACGTGACAAATATTTACTATATGTCAAATATTTTACTAGTTGGCAATAATTTCACTACTAGTACTTGAAAAATATTTTACTAATTGACCAAAATTTTACTAGTTGATCAATATTTTTCTGATTGATAAATACATGAAATATTTTACTAAATGACGAAAATTTAACAAGTTGCGGAATATTTTACTTACTGATATATATTTTACTAATTAATAAATAGTTTACAAATTAACCAATATTGTACTAATTGATAAATATTTTACTAAATGACAAATATATTACTAATTGATAAAAATCATAGCCATATCTTTTTGGCTGCGCGAAAACACAGCCATATTGGGGACATTGACTTCAAAATGTATAATAAATTTCAATTGAAAGGACAATCTTTCATTGTTGCTGTGTTTGCATTAATGTCATTTGGGGTGTTTGGTTTTGATGGCAGACAAGGGTCGATACCGCTGCTGGTGAACTATTAATTACCAGGGGTATCATCAGCTCAGTAGTCAGTACTTCGGTGATGACATGATTTATAACATACCTTTCTTAATTCATTCCTTAATTTATTTTTTGCAATTTAGGGCTTGAGACACACGTGTTTATTGTTGAATATCGTATATAAAAACCATAGATGTTCAGTGTTTTTGTGTCGTTAGATTGCTCTCTCAGTGTCGTCAATGTTGTACACTTTTTTTTACACAAATATTTTTCATTTTTATATTTCATAGTTTTTAATAATCAAATATATGTATAAATCTATGTAAATAATTCTGTGGTTGCATTTTCCTTACCTGGACCAATAGCAAAGAATACTACAAAACACAAGGAAACAACAATAGTTGCTATTTTAACCCACTTGGCTTGGTCCTGAAACACAAATGAAATTATATGTAATGCTTTAAAATTTCATACATGAAACTATTTTTAATACCCGAATTCTAATTCCGTTATAGTGGATATTTCGACTGTGTGTTATAAATCAATTTGAAGGCTACGTGATTCTCCAAATTCCTATATAAATAAGAAGCTGCGGTAGTTTACTAATGTTCTAGACTTGTAAATCCATTAGACTATACCAACGCAAATTGCCTCCAAGGATATTTTTATTCTACAAACTTCATTAAGATACAACGGCTTGCTTTGCTCATATGGGAATAACACAAATTTCTTGGAATCCATGAAATATTCAAAATATGTTCCTCGTTTAATATAATTTGCTCAGTTTAATGTTATAAGTTCTTAATGTATATTCTACTATTCGGATATTTTTTCTTGTATATATTAATTACCTGAAACACCAGTGATAGTGTTATTAGAATGCTGAAAATGAACATTCCAGCCAGTCCAGTCAAGTGCAAAGTTCTTCTTCCTATTATGTCCATAAGTGGTATTGTAATGAGCGATACAACGACCATGATAGCACCAATCCCGCTGGTCGCATGAGCAGCTGTTATTTCTGAAACACCTGCACTTTTGAAAAGTGTTGCTGAATAATAAAATATCTGAAAATAAATTAAGAAAGAGTGTGAGAGATAAGATATGAACATCCAACAAAATTCTAATAATTAAGAAGCGAATGCAAGACAATAGGTTATATTCAATTAAGGTGGTACCAAACACATTGACTAAAATTAATTTGGCTCGTTTAATTTTCATGAAATTTTGACAAAATAGTTACTTTGACCCTTTGACAAAAATATAAAAATTTCAAAAAACTTGAACCACACACTTTATCGGAAAATTTCATTGGATATATAGCGGTTTGACAAGCACTAATTTTGATCATTGAGAAGCTTAATATTTCCTTAACAATATAACGTGATTAAAACGTTCAGCTGATTTTTACAGAGTTATCTCCCTGTAGTTTTATGTACCACCTTAAATGAAATAATGCAAAGAAAAAGTAGAAACATCCTACAAAATCAAAATGTATCAGGTATATAAAAATAAGAAGATGTGGTATGATTGCCCATGAGACAACTCTCCACAAGAGACCAAAGGACACAGAAATTAACAACTATAGGTCACCGTACGGCCTTCAACAACGGGCAAAACACATACCGCATAGTCAGATATTAAAGGCCCCGAAATGACAAATGTAAAACAATTTAAACGAGAAAACTAACGGCCTAATTTATGTACAAAATAATGAACGACAAAACAAATATGATACTTATTGTATTGAATTGGAAACTTTTATGCTGTATTACTTACTGCATTGATACCCGACAACTGTTGTGACAAATGCATAATGACACTGATGACAAGAGGCATCCACAGAGATTTCTTCTTAAACAAATGCAACATGCCAATCTGCAAAAATATTTTTATTATAAAACAATTAAATGACAAGGTTTGAAGGTAAGCTGAAATATAATTAGTTTAATAAGACTGAATCCGCCATGCTTTAATGTGTCTGTTCCTAGTCAGAAACCTCCTCTTTAGTTGAATCTTAGTAGGATTTTTTTGCAATAAGAAATGTTATGTCAATGGCAGATCTTAGGTCACTTATTTTTAATTTGTTTACAACAAGCCTAGACTCAGGGCTATTGAGTTTTTAAGATATAGAAACTTGTCTGCTGTTGAAGATCGTATATAGATACCTAGATGTCTTTTAAGTATTTTTAAAAAGTTTGCATTATCAAAATATGTTAACTAAAAGCACCATAAAGCAATGTAAAAACATTTCAATTCATTTATGATTGTTATCTCATGGTATCATAGTGTCATTTGAAAAGTATGAAACAGCCTTCAATACATAAAATGTTAGAACCATGATATCTTTGAAATGCTAAGAATTAATAAGTATATAAGCAATTGTTGATATATAAAGAGCTGTCAAATTAAGCATATTCCCAGCTAAACAGGTAGAAGTTTCATAAAAGTGGTAATAAGTAAAAATTCCATTCCAATCCGTTCAAACATAATATTAATGGTATTGTCACCAAGGCAAGCAAACAAAAGAATACCAGACATACTCACAACTTTGCATTTAATTTTATAAGAAATTGCTAAACGGCCCATTGTTCTTCTGTTTCTGACCAAAATGTTTGTTTTTATGTATTCCTTGTAAGCATTAAATGTAATTGCATGACAAATTATCAAAACATACATCAACGGTCATACAACTCATCTGTAATAAGTTAGCCAATTAACCTTAGCTGATTACTGTTTGACAGAACTACTATTTGATAAAATTATTTGTTTACTGCACGATTGAAAACATTTAATTGAAGTGATTAAATTGTTTTATTATCTATGCTTTTACTGTAATTGGAGTAGTATGGACCAAGGCTAGGAGCAACAATCAAACATAATAACAATACAAACAATCATACTAATATATTATAATGCATCTTAAAGTATAATCTTAAAAATAAGCAAACTGCTTATACCGGTATGAGCTAAAGGGCAAATATTGAATTAATTTTGCAGTGGTAACTAAAGATTAAACATTGCATAGTAACCAATGAAAGGCAATATACTGAATTGGCGATATCCTCCTTTTTACATAATTGTAATTGGTTTACCATAACTCCAATCATATATACAACCTCTCATTGCTATTTTGAGAACCGATAGATGCATGCACCATATTTTTTTTTTAATTATTTGTCGTGATAAATTTGAATATCTTAGTATATATTCAATTGATAAATTGCTTGACATGTACATGGATAGGCTGTTTAGAATGTTCAGCTTCATGGACTATGTTTTTGTGTTGTCAAAAATAGTAATGAGTTCTGGAAAATATAACCAACCAAACAGTTTCATAAGCGTTTTGATTGCTTGAACGCATTTTTTTCCAAAAAAAGGTATAATACAAATTTCCGTGCGCCCATCACTTATTTCTGGAATGCTTTTCATCGGGAATGACGAAAGTATGAACACTTCAGGGCATAAAACAGCCCATAAAAAATTTCCACTTATAGTCTAATGTCAATTTTGCCTGATGTAGTTGTCACCTTTATATTATTAAATAGTGTTTGGAGTGGAAATTTTTATAAAACATGTACAAGTTTAATAATGACAGGGCAAAAACGCCGACTATATATTTCTGAAATGATAATGCCAGCTTTATAATTATTGTTGATATATTCAAAGGAACTTACTGAGATGTCTCTCAGAATTAGACAAGTGATACATGAAAATGGAGGCAATGGTCATAACTACAACTTCATTTTAGCGTTGTAGGCTAACGTCTAATTTACATCATTGCCTTATTTTACAAAGGGCTGATAATTGAATGATAAATTACCTTAGCCTCTGCTCGACTATTCGACTGCTCACGTTTCATTTCTGATATGTCTGCATCAACCATGGAGGTTCCTCTCAATGTACGTAATGCTGTAATATAAATGCATATATGAGAGTTTGGTTTGGGTTCTTCATTTCTTTATGCTTTAGTTGTTTTGCAATTTTTCTCTATTCTTTACTTTTTTTGACATTATTCTACATTATTTATATAAATCATTTTTTCCATTTTCAGGGCCATTTTCTCTCTTTTTTTTGTACCCATTATTATTTGTTCTGTTCATCATATATATAATTTCATATATAGAACATTACATCCCATGTACTATATTCAACCATATACTTGTTATGGTTCTTTTTACAGTAACTGGGAAATCACGATATAGGACCGAAGTTCCAAATTTTAGTCCAACTGAGAACTGACATTCATTTAAATGCCATTTAAAACAAGACTGAGCTATTTGAGTATTTGAATAAAGTCATATGTTAAAATAAGGTATTAATTTGAGGGCAGAAGACTTATGCTGATTGAACAGGAATGCTTAATACCCCAAAAATTACACTATTAAATGAATTTAAGTCTTAAACGCTCACTTTCATTTTTATATTCTCTGAAAAGTCTCAACAATAAATTTTTAGGTCATCATCAGTTCTTCTGTCAATTTTCAGAGTAATATACTGCGCAAAATTCAGCACTGTTCAGACAACTTGGTTGCAGTCAAACAATTCAGCATTGTTCAGACAATTTGCTTGAAGTCAAACAATTCAGCACTGTTCAGTGGCTTTTCGGACATTTCAGTATGTTGTTGACGTGTACAGGTAAATAACAACTAGAGAACCATCTGAACATAGACAGAACAGCTCTTAATTGGCTGCAAGCGCATTATCTAGACAGTACTGAATTTTCCGCAGTGGATAGTCTAAATAAAACTCATCATAGATACCAGGATTAAAATTTTGAAACCCCAGATGCACGTTTCGTCTACAAAAGACTCATTAGTGACGCTCGAATCAAAAAAGTAAAAAAGGCCAAATAAGTTATGATGTTGAAGAGCATTGACAAAAAGACTGACAATGACTTATTTTGATGTTGTAATGTTATACCACTATTTCAGGTTTTGGGGAAGGTTGGTGCCTTTTGAAACGTTTAAACCCGCTACATTTTATGCTCCTGTCCTAAGTCAGGAACCTGTTGTTCAGTGGTTGTCGTTTGTTGGTGTGGTTCATAAGTGTTTCTCGTTTCTCGTTTTTTATAAAGATTAGACCGTTGGTTTTCCTGTTTGAATTGTTTTACACTAGTCTTTTTGGACCCTTCATAGCTTGCTGTTCGGTGTGAGCCAAGGCTCCGTGCTGGAGGCCGTACTTTGACCTATAATTGTTTACTTTTTACATATTGTGACTTGGATAGATAGTTGACTCATTGGCACTCATACCACCTCCTCTTATTACTAGTAATATATATTAAGAATTTATTGTTCAGTCTTTTAAGGGCTCTTCAGATCAAAATGGCCGTTTAAGATCAAAATTGATTTTCTAGTATTAGGAAAGAAACTAGTAAATAGAGATATGAAACATTAAATCAAAAAAAAAGCCTTAAAGCTGTTCGAAATATCAAATATTTAAGTGAAACTTGTTATAAAAAGCTATCTTTTGAATCGTGCACAGAAGCAATGACCATTCGATGCATGGTAATTCGGGAACTGACAGTCATCCAGGAGCAGCACCGATTCCGTGGTGATAATATAAACGTAGGAAACTCGTTTCAAGGTGTATACAAATTCATTCTGGAATAATCTAAAACACAATTTGGAAACCACAAGACGCCAAAAGAAGGCATCATATACCTTAAAAATTGCTGTAAATAAACCAAAAAAACGAACAAAGCAGGAAAGTTGTCCGTGTCCGTAGCTATTTGTTGTGTTGTGTCATAAACAGATCTGAACAGGTGTAACACGATGGTTGTCCTAATGGAGCAGAAAATGTTGATCCTTCCGGTTTTCGATGGGGTTCCTGTTGCTAAACCTACAGTTTACTGTGAAGTAATATATTGACGACATATCTATGTATTTTTCTTTTGGTCAAGGTTTTATCTGTCTTTCTTCGATTGTGTTTTTAGCCACTTTTATAATGACAAAAATGCAACAGAACAACATCAGTTTACTTACAGCTAAGAGCTTTTTCTTCCTGTTCCTTTGTTATCAGAAGATATCTTGGACTTTCGGGACAAAACGGCATAACTAATAACTGAAGAGCACATGGTATTATGCAAAGACCTGAAATTTAGTAATATCAGAATAAGCTCGAAACTATTTTTTCTTCTAATGAAAACCAATTTCGTTAAAACCATAAATTTAACAAATGTCCAAAGAATAATAAACCCAATGTGATTTCTAAAACATGGAACGCCTGAAAAATGTGAATAACATAATCACATAGATCTCTGCTTTCTCAATGAGGACATTGTAAAAACATTATAAAGTTTAAAGCAGAATTTAAAACTCAATACAATTTTGTGTAGATCCGAAATTGTGTGATATGTGAAGCAACTAACTTTTTCTTTATTCTTCTTGGATAAGTTGAAATGTTGTGATTTCATATCAGAACTACCTACTGTGAATGGTGTCTTGTGTATTCTTAACATGCATTTACGTTAAATCTGTCAATGCAGATATTTTCCTTACGAAGTTTTGTAAACGATAGGGGCAAACACAATTTGAACTTTAACATTGCAACTTCTTCCTTCGTATTATAATGTATGTTAAATGCATTCTTCATGGTCTTATTAAAAAGTTAATTTTGGTCTAATATTGATTTATTCAAAAGGCCATAACACTAGAAAATCCCTTAGAAACAAAAAGTTACGTTTTATTTTCATTTACCTAATAACACGTGCCAGTTTTGGCCAGTACCGAGCACCTCGGGAAATCCAAGAACTTGTGACAGTAGTATACCGATGACTACACCAAACTGATGTAAGGTACCGAGTGCACCTCTGATGTTAGGAGTGGAGATTTCTGACAGATATAACGGCGTTAATCCGGTATATAATCCTACAAAAAATATTTAAAAAAATGATTATTTGATAGGTTGGTCCTTGACATCACGCAGGTAGTCATAATAATATATAACACGAACCTCGCCAGCGCAATTCGACTATTGAGGCGGTTACAAAAATACGTAGACATAACACATGTAAAACACTTTAAATGATTTTATGCAAGTACAGTTCTATAAGCGCAGAATTTCACTCAATTTATTTATAGATTATTTTCTAGGATGTTATTTCGACAATTGTACACATACTGCATGATACATTAGTACTTTAAGTTAAGTTAATGATATTTAATATTGATTGTGAATGATATTTCTAGCACCTGATTACAGTAAACAAGTGAATATTGATTCTGCTAGTTCATGCACTATAGTAATGTGTATTGTTATCTTTTGAAATCTAAGTGGTATGTGCACTATTGAGATTTAACGATTATTTTATGTTCCATTAAATTTTGAATTGAAACATAAGCAGTTGTAATTTTGCCCACGGAATCAAGCAAACAATAAGATTTATCAACAAAAGTATACATTATTCATGGTTTATTAAGCATATTCGAACATTTAAGAATCTCTATTTCCGTCTACGTAATTTTGATAGCGTCGTCTCAGTGTTCTCGTAACTGAAGTCTTGATCAATCAGAATGTTCTAGAAAGTGACGTGTAATTTATGTTACACCATTTCTAATTGGTCCATTTAACTAGGCTTAACTGATTTCACTTACCACAGTTGAATCCCACCAGAAATCTTCCAGCAATAACCATCTCATATGAGCTTGCATGTCGACTGAAGAACATCAAACAAGCAGCAGCAATACCAGGTAGAGTATTTAATATCAGCCCAAATTTTCTAAAAGATAAAAATAGGAATAGAATACATGTGTGATATTCACATTGACGCAGCAACCCTAGACTACGATTATCAAGAATACAATTAAAGGTCAACATGTACAACCCTTCAATAATAGAAAAGGGTTTATAAAATATGTCATGTTCCTAACTGCCCCTAGTCTAAAACAGTTGAAAAGATAAGCAAAGATCTGCAATCAATATGAATTTCCCTAAATGACAAAAAAACACAACCTCTGACAGGTCTCCAGACTTGGGACAGGCACATACATGACGTTTAACGTTTTTTTTTTAATGTCAAAAATACACCTTCTAATAAATTATATTTAATGTTAAATATGATCATAACATTTTCAAAAGAATCCAAATCTTCAGTCTTGATAAAAAAAAGTCTATCTTTTCGTTTATGTAGGACATTCTGATCTAAAATTTGACACATGAGTTTACTTCATGCAAATTAAAGTTAGCACGTGACCTTACATAACTAGACAATGACATTGTATTTGAAAAGAGGCTAGCTATTGATATTTCATTATCTGTGTTAAGATCAAACAAATGTATTAAACTTTGTCACTCTTTCTCACAGTTGGATTATTCACGTTTCTACTATCTGTAGTTGATTGACATCAAGTCTCGGGGAAAGTAAACGTAAACATTTGTAATTTCAATTTTAGTACCTTCCAAAGAAATCAGCCCACCATCCTGCAATTAATCCTCCGATCATTCCTCCAACAGCAAAGATGGCCACCAACAATGAGTATAGATTGATGACCGTATCCTCTGAGAATTGTTCTCCTGTCCGTTTGATGTGAGTTTCATTCATAAAGTCTTTAATTTTCTACAAACAGACAGACATTGATTTATGTAATGTGGGATGAAACGAAAAATAAGGGCATCTTTTAGTTTTTTTTTTTTTTGTTTTTTTTTTGGGTTGTATCTTCTTTGTTGTTGCTTTTTTTTAATTTTTACTATTAATTGTACTCGTCGGAATGGGAACGTTTAGCGAATAACAATTTATCAATCAATCATTCTACCGTGCTCAATGCAGAATTGTAGACTTAAGACTAAAGAAGAATAAAACTTGTAGGATTGCTAGTCAAACTCTTTGCATGGCTCTGAACATGTTAATAAAGAACTGCGCTTTGAAAACAGCACTTATAACTTTTCATTTTCAGATACTAACATTTCGAAATTCCGCATAATTTATCACAAAAAGAGAAATTTACACTTTTTGGGAACAAATTTCCACCATAATAAACCCCTATTGCAAAGGTTGCCAAACTGTAGTGAAGATAAAAAAAAGTTCTAAATACACATGGTTTAGTTTTATCACATTTGGGTGGAAATTTATGAGTTTTTGATTTTGACCTCTTTCGGACTAATTGCAAATTTTTGAACTAAAAAAGTCGATTCGAGATCAAACTGTTAAAGTAACATGTAGCAGACTGATTTGGGAATGCAATGTATTGAAGGAATATTTGTATTTCTAGACCAAAGACAGATAGATGTTGCAACTTACTCCTTCCGGTGCATTGATGACTCCGGTGTTGAATCCGAACTGTAGAGATCCTAGAACAGCTCCAAACACAGCTAACATTAACCGCCCTGTTATTTTCTGAAAATAAAGAACAGCATGCTATTTTCATAAGACGTTTGTGCGCGGTAATTTCGTACCACATTTTCTTAACTTTATACTTGTATGAAAACTATCCTTTGCAATGTGTAAGAAATAGAAATGTTCATGGTAGAAACCAAACCCCAAAATCAGATTTTCGCAGAATTCTTTAGAATTACCTTCCGATGTCCGGTGCTTCTAAGAAGGAACACACGGTATTCGAACAGCAACACTGACCTCTAGATGTTATTAGTTTTCATGTGTGTTGTTTATTTTTTTCTGAGTACCGTTTAGTTGCTGTTTCAAAGACTTGTACCCCATTTTCATTTGAAATATACATCATATGATAAGAGTTATAACATACCCCATCTGATTTGTCATTAATGGTTAGTTCTTTTTGTGACGAGACGGCAATGCTGATATCATCTGGAGTAGACATGTTGATAAGGTTTGATATTCTTAGTCTATTTTAATCTAAATCTCTTCATCTGGAAACAGAACAGAACATCATACAGGGTCATATTTATTTAGTTTTCTTGAGTACTGTAAACGTGTTTGCTGCCCACTTAAATTGATATTGAACCAAGTTCCTCAACTGTTTGACGTCTCTTAAACAAACCACTTATAAGGACGTACATCATTAACACTTGTATAACGGTGCATGTTGAATAAAGTAAGAATGTATTGGTTATTTGTTTTAAGTCTTTGGTTTTGCATTCTTTTGATTATTGCCATTCCAGAGGACAACATTTGTTTTCTTTGCCTTAATGCAAATATCTAACTAAAGAGGATTTAATGCACATAATACTCTTACCACAACGAGAGGTAACATTAAATTTGCTTGAGAAAGCTGCTACTTTTATTTTTTGTAAAAGCGGAAGGGCCTATATCTCCTGAATTCATTTCACTGAACAGTAATTTTCAAAACGTTCTTCTCGATCTTTTTCTTTTGATATTACGCACACGCACACTTTTTCTCGAAAATCCTGGTATACATATAAACGGCTCCATCCTGTTTACCTTTTAACAAAAACATTTTAAATGTATATAGTTAGTTATGCTTATTTCCTTAACTCGTATAAGTCAGCGCCCTCTATGCACTGTCGTTTTTCGAAGCTCGTAGTTAATCGGGTTATAAGTTCGTATGAATAAAATATAATCAAAAGCAAAGATACAAAAGTCGTCGTTTTAACATAATATTGCTCTAGTTTTATACTTTTTAAATCGTGGTGTACATTATAGCCTTAAGCTGTAAAACATTGTACTTCAAATAACATTGATATTTATAGCGAAAAAACGTAAAATGAACCTTCATTTGCATAAATTTTTGTTTGTTTACCTATTAAGATTTTTGACAAATATATTCATAGTTGGCGATCTGTGAAAACATAAGATGAAACGATCATCAACATGAAATGATCCGTAATAATATTTTAATGTGTTATTTGAAAATCGAATTTATGCAACATTCATCTACTAACGCGTGAAACATTAAATATCATTTACTTTCATATATTTATATGTATTTACACCCTTTTTGTGTAGATAACCAAATGAAATGGGGCATTGGTGATAATGGATGGCTGTTTAACGTCTAGTCGCAAATTAAATGCATATTCAGTACCAAAACATGTAAACGATCGAGATATGAATTTAAACACTGCTTTGTACTAGACCGACATGTTGAACCGGATTTTATACGTGCGAGGTCACAAGGCAACGGTTCGCAGTGAGACAGGTCATCCTACCCGAACACATAAGTTTGTTTCCAAGCCGACCAGTCTTTGCACTTACATCTTCATGCAGCCTGCTTAGCGAAGAAGCAACACATTCTAATTTCAAAATCATCGCTTTGACCATCAAACCCACGGCCTCTCAATCCCGAGTCGATCACGCTTCCTTGAGACCATCAAGACAGTTAACAGGGCAGGGAAGGAAGTAAGGTGGTTCCAAAATGAAATATCATATTACTAGAAAAATAGTGTGTACGTCCGAACTACTTTTTCTGGATTGACCTTTATCAGTTACATTCGAAACCCCTAAAAGTAAGACAAGGATGTATAGATGCTTGAATATGTTAAGAGATTATGACCACAGGGGACCTAAAAAAGTTAACCAAATCAATATACGATCAATTTTGCCAGAGAAAGTTGGAACCTTAATTTCTAATAATATCTTAATCTATTCACGAAAAAGTTTAGAAGTGTATGTAAATAATGTCAACCCCAAGTCCTTGAAACTATATTTACTATAACACTATGAAAGTGTTAGTCTACGTTTTTGTAGATCAAAAAATATACTGAATAACGAACAGAAATACCTAGAAAGTGAATTTCAAGTCTATAATATTACAATATAAAACCCTGAAATTGTTAATCTACGTTCTCGTTTCTAATTATTATTATTATTATTGTTGTTGTTATTATTATATTATTATTATTATTATTATTAGCTTCATGAAATATCAGATTTATGAAATATCAGATAGCTTAAAATGTGCTGAAAAGATTTAGAGTAAAAATAGATATTCCCCTGTGTTTGGTGTCAAAGTCTACTGAAATTCTGTATTCTTCAAATTGATACTACAATTTGATGATTTTTTGCGATTATATTTTCGTCTTTTTATTTGTTAATTATGTACCATGCATCAACCTCACGCTCAAAGTTTGGTACTGGTCAGTAGGTAAGCAGAGGTCATCAAAGATCATAAAGTGGACGTACGGCTGTGCATTTAGTTCTCATTGGTGAAATAACTGCACAGATATTATACAATGTTTTAAAATAGTTATCAAAGGTACCAGGATTATAATTTAATACGCCAGACGCGCGTTTCGTCTACATAAGACTCATCAGTGACGCTCAGATCAAAATATTTATTAAAAATTGACATACTTCTTTCTACAGTACAGGAACGGTGAGTCATGCTCATTGACAATTCCGGCATCGAGTCATATGGTACAAATATGCACTTTTATATATTAAACCCCCTGGAAGTATGAGAGTCTACTTTAATGTCTTTTGAGGTGACTCTGTAACAAAACAAATAATATGGGGAGTAAGGATTTAAACACTTCACAACGGACGACGGATGTCAAAGGTTGACAATGACCCCTAGGGCCAGGTGAGCTATAAAAAATATATGAAATGTGTGATCACATGAACTCGATCCGAACATGTCCCATATGGTTATAAATGTTTCATAATATTTACTTCTCATAATGTCCACGTGTCACTTCAACTGGTTCCAGGTGAAAAAAAATACATACGATGCTTAGATAATACATGAACATACCTTAAAATATTGTTCGAAATCTACATCTCCACCACAATAACGAGATAACAAATAAAATGTCAACTATACGATATCGATTAAAACTAGTCACTTGTACATTTTGTATATATTATGATGAAGGATGACAAGCCGGTGTATGTGTATGTAAACTATGTGTATAAAACACATTCACGTGGGTCATGTGAGATAAAATAGAGTGTTATGATGTGTTTTAAAATAGTACATGTATCTATAGATATGTGACACGGCACTTCTTTATCGGGGTTATCTATAATCCGATAATGGTATGAATAAGAGGAACTGCACTTTTAAAATATGTTTTAAATATTTATGTATACTCAACAACCAAACGCGACACTCCCATTCATTTCTTTGGAGTAAAAATCTCTATTGGCAAAAACTTTTTAAAAGCTATTAAATATTGGCAAAAACTTTTTAAAAGCTATTAAATATTGGCAAAACCTTTTTAAAAGCTATTAAATAAGTAAACATGTAAACATAACATTTCTGGAGTCTGACCATGTATAATAGCATCAAATTCTAAAAAACTGAGTATTTATTTTTGGTTCTGTTATAAAAACTACATTTTCAGCCCCAAAAGAGAAATTTTGCAAAATTGTGAAAACTGAATTGTGTGTTTTTACATGGAAACACATTAAAATAACTATCTACAGTTTCTTAATCGATTTTTTTAATTCTGAAAACCCAATTTGAAATTGACTAATCTCAGACTTGATTTTTGTTTTACCTAAAACCCAAATTGTAGCCACTAAAACGAAATTTTCTATATAAAACACGTGTATTAATTTCATTATTATGCTTAAAACTTAATACTTTTTATAAAAACAAAAAAACAAAAACAAACAAGAAATTGTGAGAAATTTCTATATATGGGAAGAAAAGCTAGTGCGTTACTTGTATTGTTAAGTACAGATAGCCCTGTTTGCTTTCGGATCTAGAGGAGGAGACAATATTCCATTGATTTACCATTCTGTAAAATAACTTATAAATGTTGTGCGTCCGAAGCGTTTTCTGGATTGACCTCCATCAGGAATGTTCAAGCCCAAAAATTTTAAATCAAATCCAAGGATGTATTATAAGTACATAGAGACGTTAGGAGCTACATGTATATGAATAAAAGGGACACAAAAAGGTTAGCTAAATTCAGCTACGGTCAACTTTGCCGGAGTACATCGAAAACGGAAACACGCCTTATTTATTCGAGTAAGAGCAGCCAAAATAAGTAAAATCAAACATATAATCGGTGTAATTTGAGGGGAAAGTTTACTGTTTTCCGATGATTTTGTTGTGAAAAAACAATATTAACCAGGTAATTTTCCCCCAAAATTGTACCGTTTGAAACTTCGGTTTTACTTCTTTAGCTTGCTCTTACCTGACTTTGTACCATGATGTCCAAGGTAACCAGTCGACAAATTATATAATCCGGAGTCACGGTAATATGAAAATAGTCTATTCAGTTTAAGTTCCGATATAGTTTTTTATTAAGAATGTTTCTTTTTTTGAGTTTTATGACAACTACTTAAATTTGCTTAAATCTTTCAAAATTGCTTTTTTAGCATGATTAAAGCATTTGTTATTTGGTATCGTGGCCAGAAATACTTCAGTACATATGGTTGTATAAAATTCAACGATTACAAGGCACATTGTAATTTTAAAGTAAAGATTGAAAAAGACTTTTGAAAATGGCTCTGGTGTGAAATTATGCAGAGAAAGATTAAACCTACCTCTTGTTTTCAAATTGTTTAATTCTCTAATCATACTGTGGAAATTACTTTTAATAAAGATCTAAAATATACTGCATTAATTGTTCAGTTCTAGCTTTGGGTATTTCAGCTTTCTTCAGATTAAAAAATCTATACAAAAATTTACGACAAAAGAGACGATTTTTCGTTCCCTATTGTTAATTTTCCCTTTTTTGGACGGTGATGTTCCTTCGAACCCTTCCTATGGTGTGTATATTTTCAAACTCATTCGCAATATATGGAGTGCCTGTACTGACAATTAATTAATATGTTTACCTTGACCTATAGTTGCTTACTTACACTTCATTTGGTCTCTGGTGAATAGTTGTCTCATTGGCAATCATGCAACATATCCTTACTTTAATCTTAAATGACCGTAATTTGACTTATAGTTATCTTACTCCTATCTCATTTGGTCTCTGGTGAATACAGTTGTCTTAATGGTAATCATACAAAATATCCTTATTCTTATACTCTCACGTGATCTGTTTGCTGTTAAACAACATGTGTAGTGCATTGTTACATGGTCTTTTTGCTGTTAAGCAACATGTGTAGTGCATTGTTACATGGTCTGTTTGCTGTTAAGCAACATGTGTAGTGCATTGTTACATGGTATGTTCGTTGTTAAGCAACATGTGTAGTGCATTGTTACATGGTCTATTTGCTGTTAAGCAACATTTCTAGACTATTCTTAAATGACCTGCTCGTTGTTAAGCAACATTTCTAGACTATTCTTAAATGGCCTGTTCGTTGTTAAGCAACATTTCTAGACAATTCTTAAATGGCCTGCTCGTTGTTAAGCAACATTTCTAGACTATTCTTACATGATCTGTTTGTTGTTAAGCAACATTATTTCTAGAATATTTTTACATGGCCTGTTCGTTGTTAAGAAACATTTCTACAGGCTACTCTTACATTACCTGTTCGTTGTTAAGCAACTTTTCTAGAATAATCTTACATTACCTGTTCGTTGTTAAGTAACATTTCTAGAATAATCTTACATTACCTGCTGGATGTTATTCAAAATTTATGGGCTACTCACTAGATTTATTTATAAATGGACTTGTATTATATTTTGAAAATTTGATTGAAATGAGGAAAACTAGAGGTGTCATTCAGCAATCTTTACGAAAATATAAGTTTTCACTACATTTCTATAAATCCATAAAGATTGCTTCTCATTTTCTAAATCGTGTTACTTGCCCTCCGTATATTTCACTGGCTTGTGCCTGTTAGTTTATCGTGGAGACTGGTTTCAGTCACATTTTATTTTTTTTAAATGGTATCTTTTGCAAATAAACAAAAATGTGATATTGTTCAAAGGATTTGTGATAATGTCCAAAGGAATTTTTTTTTTATATAATAGCAAGCAACCAAGAATCTTATTCAATGTCATAAACTTTGTGATTTGATATAAAAAAAAGTTACAAATCAAAAATAGAGCTTATACAAACTACAACAAGCATCATTATGTAAACTTCAGAAAAAAATCGCAGCTAAGTAAAAACATAAGCATATTCATAACGAAGACAAATAGGAATAAAACTCTTCCGTTTCCTATCATATCGCCAGAACAATGCAGGGTTCGGGAAAAGGGGGTACAATTGTCCAAACGGGTAGCAAAAATAACGATTTTAAACCAAAAAATTATATTCGCTTCATAAACGTTGTTAGGTATTTATACATCCGACTTTCAAATTTTTGGCTTTGAGCGTTCCTGATGAAGCTCTAAGCAAATACAGAAAAGCTCTTCGGACGCATAAACTTTATTATTTATTTAGTGTCATTTTCATTTTGCTGATCAAGGGAGGGGGAGGTATGCTCTCTACGATCCCCTTTGAATCCACCACTGAAATACAATACATCAAAATTTAAAACTTACCTAGCGAGACAGAATCCTCATTGAACATTTATCTTACTTCAGTTTTATAACATTTTCGGCCTTGTGCAACATAAACGTGTTCAAAATTACCTAACACGTGGGAAACATCCATTAAGAGAATAATGTATTCGTGTGTTAAAATTTCGAACTTTAAGATTGATTTTGAGAAGAATTAAACTTGACAAACATGAGGGTCTGACTGGATGGTGTTTACATAAAAGAGAATAAATGGGCAAAAATTGAAGAATAAAGGTCAAAAAATAAGAATAGAGAAAAATAGACACAAAAAAAAGAATAAGGATTAATGGGGTGCTAAAATATACAGAATAGAGAATAATGATATAAAAAGTTAAGGAATAAAGAAATGAAGGACCCCATATCCAGACCCTTAAAGATACAATGATAAGCGGTGTCTCAAAGATAGTACAATTTGTAAAATTTAAACCTTTACGTTTTCGATTCACTTAATTATTGACCAGTTCACGCGGACCCAATTTATTATCGTTGCAGATGGACCCTTGCGGGAACCGCCAAACCACCCCGAAGCTTTCATTTTTTTTTTGCTAGTGAAATAATTTAAATTCTGGCATTTCATGAAGGCATCTTTTTGAAATTACAGTTTTTTTTTTTTTGTATGATCGATGGATTGGTGGTTGTTTAACGTCCCGTGTCAAATTAAATACATATCCAGGACGAAAACATAATCAAGCCTGTCGTGTGTTTAACTATATTTGTTTTAACGTTGTCACGGAAAGCACTTTTAGTCAAAGCTGTTGCAATTTATGTGGAAATAAGATATAAACTGACAAATCAAAATTACGGAGTCTTAAAAAGTTTCATGTAATGTGATTATAAGCTATATTGCTTGTAATCAAACCGTTTATTTATTTAATTTTTTATATAAATATATTGTTTTTACACACATTTGTATTCCCTTCACGAGCTGCCACAGGGACCACCAATTTACGTACCGCATTCGAATGATGTTTAATCTGTACGAGTTGTAGTTTAAACTTCCAGTCGTGCTGTCGTTTGTCAATTTCGTACCACTACATGTATAAGCAAGACCACATGATTTTAAAATTTGACATCTTGTTTTTTGAACATTGATTTGTTCGTGTTTTGATTTTTTAAATTAAGTTAACAAATATGTATGAAATCGTGCATGATATCCCACCGGAGCAGTTTTTCAATTTTCTCGTCCTGAACATCCATGATTGAAATATGTGTACGTTAAGCAACCAACAATCAATCAATCAATCAATTTAGTTTTGTCTATTACATGTTTTCTTTTATTAATGTACCCTCGCCCTAATATTCGTATGATTTAGAAGATTTTATGTTGGGATCCTATTTATTACATGTATTTTGGGATTGTTCCATACGCAGTTTCATGATTTATGTTTCGATTTATTTAAACTGGAAACAAAAACGAAAAGCAAAATGAAGGTAATGCATATCAAGAAATATTTGCCGTATCATGGCCAGGGGAAAATTATTCGGTCGAATGATA